GGAATTCACTCAACCTCAAGTCAAGTTAATGTTTGAAATTCATCCCTCGGATGGAACACTTATTCGCGATAAGGCCATCATTCATTTATCTTTCCATATGTCCACAACATATCACATTTATGAAGCTTTAATTGTCTATAAGCTCATTAGAGTTCTAAGTGCCTTAATGATTCATAAATCATAATGCCATATCATTTAATCAAACTCCTTAGCCTCTTTTACTTAAATAATTCACATCAAATATTAGAATACATGGCCTCATGTACTCAAGCAATTATGCCTCAATAATCATAGCTCACTAGTCACAAATGCATCAACAATCTCATTTTAAATTAGTCATGGCCTAATAACTGCTTATGCATGAGCAATGTCACATCAAATCATGCATCAGTATTTCATCGACAATTAGGCAATTTATTTCCACATTGTGGTATAACCATCACATTAACTTAGTTATAGCATATCCAAAAGCCATTAAGATCATACATCGCTTGGATGTCTAACATCTCATGCTTCCCAATAGCAATCACAATAAACACATATATTAACATATATTAATAACATACAAGCTAGACGTTCTCATCTAAGCCTGAACATAGCAATCCAATGTACCATGGCAGTGCATATCATCATGCATAATGCATCACATGCATTTTCAAAGATAAACCCCACTCATTGTGACAAATTGGAGGTGCTCCATAGCCAAGCTCCAATCCCTAGCCTTAAACCATATTTTAGCTCACAAATGTGCCCAAATTGCTCAATCTTCCTTCAAGCACATCAAAACATCACAAAACTAATTAAATCCTTGCTTTCAAAAAATGCTAGCATTTTTAAAAATAACTAAATCCTTAGCAATCCAACATATAAGTTCAAATCCTTCAACAATGAGCAAACCCATACCTTAGAAGCATGGATTGCACAAATATTAGCTTTAAATTCCAACCAAATTGAGAAAGATTTACCTAAGTTGGTGAAATCAGATTTCTTATAATTTAACTGATTAAATTAAAAAATAATAAGTAAAAACGTTTAATGTTACCTCAATAATATTTCCTCAAGCTTGGAATAGCTTTAAACTACTTCAAAAATCTATTTAGGGCTTAAGGTTTTAAATGGGTAAAGAGAGAAAACATAAATCACCAAAACCTAGTTTTTTCTTAAGAGTGAAATCTTTACCTTTAGCACTTAGAATCCAAGATTTATTGATGGATTTGAAGGTTTTGAAAGGTGTGAAGTTTGACATAAAAAGGGTGGAGGAATGAAGAGCTAAGAGAAAATGAGGAAAATTTCAATTCTTGGGCTTTTAAGTCCATTTTAAATTGATTGGGCAACCCAGGATTGACCATGGAAAGTCTTTAGTTGATCTTGGAGAAGAAGATCTCACCCGTTTTTTCCTTCACAAGATTGACTATGGAAGGTCTATAATTGATCCTGGATCGAATGTTTGCATTTCTTCCATTTTTCCTTCCTAGAATCGACTATAGAGGGTCTATAGTCGATCTTGGACATAAATGCATGACTTTCCTTACTTTTTACTTCACAAGATTGACCCTCTACGCATTTGGATCAACTTCTTTGGTCCATACTTGTGAAAATTGTTTCTTTTAAAGCCTAAACCCATTCTAAATCTCTTCCACAACCTCAAACCATTCATATATGACTCAGATATTTACTTAAATACTCAAACCTAAGATCAAAACTCCAATCTGAGCATCAAACTTTTGGATTCCTCAAATATGTTCATAAACATTTTGCCTAAGTATCATAAGGCATGCTTTCTATGTTTAACGCATCAGCATATCATCAAAGAAGTCTGCAAATATACAACAAATTTCAAGATCCTTCCTTATACACATAATAGTTCATATGCATACTCCACAAGCATACACATCAGGGTCCAAATTTGCCCTTCAATAACTTAGCCCCAATCACATGTAGGCCATGTAAAAATCAAGGGTGTTACAAGTATTAAGAGAAATATTAGTCCAAATGAAATGTTGAATGAAACCATAATCCTAGACTTTGAGTCCATTGATTTTCTATTAATTTTAGCTTCCATTTCTTTAGTTTAGCATTGTTAATTAAATTTAATCTTTAATTAAATTTCAAATTTTGGTTTGTTCAAATAGTACTAGGATGCCATAATTTTAATACTTAGCAAGAATTTAGGTACAATTCCATATGGAATATGAAACGCACTTACCTTTGTATTACTTGTGCAACACATTCATTTGTGTGTGAAAAGTCATCAACATCTTTCAAGTAAAGTTGTTAATCCTAGCCATCATTTAGGCAATTTGCTCATCCTTTTCTCAAATGCTTGTCACTAGAGATTTTATAGTTTTCACAAAACGTGCAACTTATTTTTCTAGAGATGTTGTTCCAGTTGTCATGATGACCATTGCACTAGAATTTGCTTTTGATGAGAAACTTTGGTGAGGGGATGACGGAACATAACTACTGCTTGAATAGCCATCATGTTCTTTAAGTTGATTTGCACTCGATGCTTTTGAGGAAATAAGTTGCATAGTAGAGACTTCTTCAAAACTTAAGGTAGAAGTATCATATAGAGGATTGGGAAAGTCTGCGCATATAGTTTAGTAATAGCTTTTGTCTTTGGTTGAGCGCCATATGGATACATTGGAACATTTGTGCTGAATGATAAGGTTGGAAAGAATGTAGGATTTGCTCGAGTAGGCTTCACAGTGAGTTTGTTGGCAACATTCTTCTTGGAAGCCATTTGCAATTTGAAGATTGTTTGAAGAAAAAATATGAGAGGCAGAGATGTCCCACCAAGTGTGCTAGGAATTTGTACACAAAAATTTCTCATCGAATGTTTAGGCTCGAAAATTATGAGACAAATTACAATGATTTGAAGCAAGATACAATTCTTGAAATTCCTCTGATTAATTTCTTCACTCTATCTTCAAAAGTCATGAACTCAAACTTGATCTTGTATATGATTTGGACTTGATAACTTCGTTTTCAAGTTTCTAAGCAACTTGATCTTGATCGCAAACTGGACTTGGGAACTTCACTTCAAGGGTTAGGATGACTTGATCTTGATCATGAACTAAACTTGAGAACTTTGCTTCAAGGGTCTTGGGACTTGATCTTGATCACGTACTAGACTTGAGAACTTCGTCTTCAGAAATCTTCTTCTCTTCTCAATCTCCAAATGGTTCTCAAATGGCCTGGAGGAGCATTGTATTTATATTACTAAATGAGAGACTTTCATGAGGATTTAGTATCTTTAAATTATCTCTAAATTATTTTAATTTAATTAGAAATAAATCATGATGACTCATAAATAGTTTTTTGATTGGCTGAACTTTAAGTCCTTGAATTTTGATTAGCTAAATTTAAGTCTTATTTCTAAATTATCTTAATTTATTAAGAGATAAGTTAAACAATCAAATTTGATTTTATCTCCAAATTGTCATAATTTTTTAGAGACAAATTAGATAACCAATTGGTATATTTTAATTGGAAAAAATTATGAATATTATCTTTAAATTATTTTGATTTATTTAAAGATAAACAGGATGATCAATAATTAAATTTTAAGTGATCCAATGAAAATATTATCTTGAAATTATCTCGAGTGATAAACATATATGATACAAAGCTGAATTTTAATTAGTTCAACTATATGTCTTTAAAATAATTCAACTAATAAATTAATTATTTTATAATTAATTGTATAATTATTTTTAATGATTTCATCAAGTTCATGTGGTGTCTTGTAATTGGATAATAGTTTTTTTGTTTCTACAAAGTGGAGAACGATTTTTAATTATAAATTAAAGATCCATCACATATCTTACTAATATGAGATGTGTGACCTATGCGTAAGTACAACAAAATCTTTCACGTGGGATGGTAAAATGGGGGCGGAATGTCATGTTTGAGTATGCCAAAAAGCTATATACTTTAATAGGGAACTAAAGAAGAGAGAAAATTTTTGGGAGAAAGCGAAGTGAGAGAGGAGAGGTACTTTCTTCACCAATTTTTGAAGTTATCTGTGGACTTGGTTGATATAAAGAAACATCTCAAGACAATTGATGTTTCTTTGTCGAAATTTAAATTGGAATAAACTTTTGCTTGTTTTGCTTTCTATTTGTTGAGCATGAAAAGGTGTAGTACTCAACAACTCTAGCAGCTGTCATTGTCAAATTTTATGTTTATTTAAGAAAAGAAAAGAAATAAAAAAGAGAAAGAAATTGAGATGGAAGAGAAGGCCTGCTCTAAATACTTGGGGATGGAAAAACACAATTTGGAAGATAAAGCATGGAATCCAATGTTAACCTACAAAAGTGTGAAGCCATCCAATTCGTCAGGGCCCCCTGCCCCAATCTTATTCGGAATATTGCAAAGTAATGGCTTTAGCATGGCCCAATGATCAGGCCTTCTGGAAAAAGAAGTGTCGAAAAGCTACCAAAAGTGAATTAGTCAATGCGAAGATAAGATGCTAAGAAGAAATCCACATGCCAAACGGTGGAAAAGGCAATACTAGTATATATTTAGAGAAGCTAATCACTAAACCATGGAATCTTAGTCCGGATATAATTAGGCTATGAGTTGTGTAAAGGTTTTTTCTAATATTGACAGCTTAAAAAAGGTGATTTGTGAAACCAAATACAAGCAGATTTAAAGAGGAGTTAATTAGTTTACAGATGGGTTAGTAAAATCGGTATGAATCGATCAGGCATGTTCAGTGCATATTGGTGTTTGAGCATATAAGAAAATTTGTTGTTCATTGGGTTTATCATTTATGGGTTGATTTGTGCATTTGAGCTTTTATACTTTTTTTTTTTTTTTCATTTTTTATGCAAAATACGTATTGAAATGTAATGCTTTTATTTTCTTTTATGTTTTTTGTATTATGTTATTTTCTTTTCAATTTTTTGTTTTGAGCTGTGAGATTATTTAAGCTTTTCTATTAATAGGAGGAGAATGTTTGAGAAAGAAAAACAGAATAAGAGAAACATTCACGGTAAAACAGATAGAGCTCTTCTTTTATGAGTTTTGATTATCTCACACTTCAATTTGGTTCATATATATACCAACAGGAAAAATCAAAATAGAAAAATTGCCTGCTAATATTAGCATTTATAGAATACTAGGCCTGCTCAAGCTCCTGGTAGTGGTTTCCCAGCTAGAACTGCCTTGAACAACGCCAATGATCGCTCTGGTTGTGAAGCTGGAGCTGTGTGCGAAGCTCCTCTGATGGTGGCGAAGGACAAGATATCACCATAAACTTGTGTCCAACCACCAACCTGGAATAAACAAGGGCATAGAAAAACAGTTGAATGTAATTTTAATTAGTTATTGGTTCACATAAAACATACAGGATTTACTGAAGCAGGTCAAGCGCAATTCAACTGGCTTACTTGTTTTCCCTCAAACCAAGGTCGGTAAGGCACAGTTGTGTTAAGTCCCAATACTTTCGCTAGCTTATACACTAATATTCTGGTGCCAATAAATGGGATAACAGAATCCTGATCTCCACTGTGACAACACATTTGAGTAGTACAACGCATGAAGGAAAATCTAGTATCATAATTTGATAAACAAGAGTTGACTATATATCTATATTTATCACCTGTAAACCATGACTGGGATACCAGACTTTACTATAGAGCCAACAATATGAATTGTTGGCGTCTCTAGGTTGGCCATATATTGCACAAACCTGTAAATAAGAGATCAATTCAACACCAAAAAATAAGGAGAATATATTTTATAACAATTGTGGGCTCTGGCAGAAAAATAGATGACAACAGTCTCCAATGGCTTATCTATACTAGGAGAATTGAGGAATTAATTGTTACTTGTTACATAAGTTCCAGCTGGTGGTTCCAACAAGTTGTGCGTGTAGGGCTTTCTGCACATCTTTCCTGTTCAAGTACTTGGTTGTTTCGTCTTGTATACAGGGGTCTACTTTCACACTAACTTGCTGAAGGGGATGGAAATTCAAAGATCACAATGAAATAGCATATATAGAGATAATGAAAAGTTACAAAAGGGCACACAAAGTCTGACTATTGCAAATTTGCAGTGTAGTTTTAATTTTCACCTGTTGACTGAGGCCATCTGCTTGTGGTGAATGTTGAGGTCCTGACAACAGGGAGTGACTGAGTATTGCCATTGGTGACTGGCCAGACGATAGGCAAACATCGGCAATGACATCATATTGGTCGATAGACTTAGTAATTTCTGTTGAAACTTCACTATATACAGACATACAGTCAGATGAAATCGACCTTCTAATAACCTCTCTCATGAGCCGAGAAGAGTTACAAAATGAAGTGAGAAGCTCATAAGCTGAATCTGATATCAAACCATGAGACCAATAATATTGATCCACTGAGTTCATATCTGTAGCGAATTCAAGAAGGGGATTCCCTATCTGCATTCATGAAGATTAAACGTACATTATATTTTGGGCAAATTCACATTTTCTAAAGGAGGGGAAAATGCACACATTTCTATGGTGTACTTACAGCTATCCCTTTAAGATTCAGCTTCAGATTGGAGTGAATAATGAGTTGTGCAAGTTGTGGTACATAGTGACCTACAGGCAAGATAGAGTAGGAAGTCATATTTGCATAGCTCGTGAAACAAGCCTATCATTCGCATTCAACTAATTGAGATTTCTCTCTAGCTTTCCTTGACTGAGACGGAACATGTAAAAATTTTCACATATGTACCTGCATAACTTTCTCCTGTGATGTAGAAATCTCTATTCTTGTACTCAGGGAACTTGACAAACCACCGCTCCAGGAAAACGAGATTATCTCTTGCTTGAAAGGCAACAACATGAAAATCAATTTCACGTTAGATGTCTGAAGAATTCAATCAACATTCAGCATATCCTTTATGCTGCAAGATAAAATTAATGCATATAAACCTGCCACTTCATCGTTTAAATTAGAGTAAAATGAGTTATTGGCAGAATAAGAGAAGCCGACGCCTGCGGGTGACTCCAAGTATAGCATATTAGCTTCTGCAACATTCAACAAAGAAGAAAATCTATCTAGTCAGTGGTCATTCACTTGAACTTGGAGGCAAGCATCTGGCCAGTAGCAGTCACTAAGACTCACATGCATACCGAGTGACGTTGTTGCCTCATTACCAGAATGCAAAGTAGAGTCAAAACAAATTGTGATAGTAATTTATTTCTATGTTTAAGTGGTGACCAAAACTGTTGGCTATGTTACTTTCTATTTTATGGCAACTATTAGTTTATATCTATCACGCGCTAATTAAATATTTAAAAGTAAACAGAAAGAATTAAAAAGATACTACTAGTATGAATTAATATTTTCAGAGGAAGACCTTTATTCCAACTGTACTTATTCTTTTCCAAAGCCTCTCCATTTGGCTTAAAGGGGCCATGTTCGGTGAAAGCTCCTGCTCCAATAGACGAACAACCAGGCCCTTCAAGAAGCAATGAAAACTACATTAAAATCCTCAAAAGAATGCATGAAAGAAAGGTTAAAACCTGGACCAAGGAAACTGAATTTTAGCAAACATGCATTGATTCACCTCCATTTAGCCATAGAACAAGTGGCTTTGACGCAGGCATAGTTTCGGCCTCAACAAAGTAGTAAAACAGAGCTCTCTTCTGCTTCTCATCGACGGTGAGGTAGCCAGAGAAGTGTTGGAAAGTGACTCTGGGTTGGCCAGGCAAAGCTACAATTTTATCAGCTTTGGGGAGTGATTCTACAGCCGTCAAACATGCGTGAATAAGAGCAACAAAGGCTATCCATTTCCCAGATTTCATGTTTGACAGAAATCAGAAAGGGTGAGACAGAGAGCACTGTTGCTTGAGATGATGGAGATAGCTGGTGTGTGAAATGTGAACTCCTAGTCTTATAGAATTGGCTAAAGCAAAAAAAAAGGCCAAAAAAGTTGACAGGCTTACATATTGGTGGGCACCCACCATCGGACAATCGAACGACCCCAACTTCCTGTAGATCAACATGTTTCCACGTACTATCCCGCTCATTACGGTTTAACTTTTCACCAAAATTTCAATGAATTTGTAATTTTTTTATTTTTCAAAAATTCAGCTCAATATTAACCGAGTGCTTGAAAAATACTCTTGAATTATTGAAATAAATTCTTATTCTGCTACATTCAATCAAATTCCCATATAACTCCTTATGAACTAACAATTGATTAATTTTTTTTCAAATTCATAGTATATTCAAAACACAGAGAAGTGAAACTTCACTAGAATTGGAACAAGATTCATGTTTGTTGCTCTCTAAAATTGAGAATAACAGCACAGAATCATCTCTAAAAGTATAACCTACAAGACTATACGATAGACCGGTCTTCCCAGAAACCTGTACACATAAACAAACCCAACAATTCCCCTACAACATGAGGCAGTCATCTCACCGCCATTCCCCAATTACAAAACATCACACAATTCAAACAAAGTCAAAGATTTACTTAGATAGGATATGCTTACGCCCGAAGTTTCCTTTTGAACATCAGGATAGGTAGCTACCGGGGAGGTATGGGACAAGGCATCAACATGCCCAACAATCAGAGCACAAAAACAAAGGCAGGAAGACTCGTCATTCGAACAAAAGGAAACCTTAGCAGCCGCAGTTGGCCAATTGCAAAGATCATCCAGCATTAATCTTCCGCAAGGCACTTATCCAATCTGTCAACCACACAAGTCCAGTGATTCAACAAATTCAACATTGGTGACACCGACCATAAAAAGAGAAGAAAGAACATGCTAGTTTCACTCCAATGCTCAGAAAAGGGCCTCTGCTGTTGAAACCCCTTAACCCTTTACTGTGCACTAATCACAGGTTACTTCAGGATGGAGATGAGGTCCTCTGAACGCTACACCCCTTGACACTCAAGTTTTCTCCAAGTTAATTCATTCGAAAACATTCAGTAAGTCGCTCCGTCGTTGGATTCCATTCCTTGCCAAACTGTCAGCGAATTGATTTTTTTCTCTAATCACGTGACTGACCTCTCACTCTCTGACCCCTTTTCCAGCTTTTCAATGTGCAATACCCATTTCCGCAACCTTTATGGGGCTTCAACAGGTTCGTTTACCCATTTTACAGTATTTTTAAAGTCAGATTCAATTATTAGAGCATGTGTTTGGGACTACTTGGAAGCAAAGAAGATCATAAAAGCTTCCCTAATTGTTCTAACTTCAGTTAAACTTGCGTCTCCTACCCCAATAGCATTTAAGAATGTGACTTTCACCAATCCATTATGATCCGTCATAACTCTCCCAATTTTTTACATCTCCGAGGCAACCTTTGGCTACTCCATCAATGTTAAATTTCATTTGACCTTAGCGTGGTGTCACAACCCTAACTCAAAGGCCATGATTGATGCAAGGGTATTGATGGGAGTAACGTTCTTATCCCAAACTAACCTCAAAAGAAATAAAAAATTTACTAAAATGTACATCGTGTAGCTCATTATAACGAAATCTTAGACAGGCATACATTATTATATTTATATCAAATGTTAGAATATCAGTTTGCATGATTTTGTGCTCAAAGTGTGGAAGCATAACAAATACAAAGTTTAAATTATAACCAACCTTGGGCGATTTAAAGTGTACGCCATTTTGTTGTAGTCTCAAAGTATAACATTTGTTACAAATATAAAAAGAGTTTAATATTCATGATAGACTAGAGGAGTACAACTTAAACAAAAAGGAAAGCACTTACTAGATGCCTTATTGATCACCTACCAAATTGACTGTGGAAGTAGCTCTACGCAAAGAACAACGAGTCAAACAATATATTGATTTGAAAAAACAAATGCATCTTACTTGTGTAAGTTATAAAATAATTCTGTGAGCAAATACCCAAGCAAAGGCCGGGGGGTGGACGAGCTAAATAGGAGAGTGTTTATGTAAGATACTTTTAAAATAATGCAAATAATCTAATTCCAAACAAAACCGAAGTCTGCTTGTTAAAAAATATCAAATATCCAAAGAGTTTGGGAGTTCAATTTTTGGGCTATATCAAACAACCAAAGATACACCTACATGACAAGCACAATCAATAATTCAAGAATCTCAAATCTTTGTCTCAATGAATACAAATTTATTTTGGGAATGTTTTAAATGAAGTTTTGTTGAAAACCCATTCATAAACCTTCAAAATGAATGTGTAATTTATAAAACGTTCAAGAATTACAATGGAAATAAATATTTAAAATCAATTTAAAAAGAAAACATTTTAAGTAGATTTCGAAGAGTACAAAAGTTTAATTGTAAAATAAATTCATCACATTTAGAAAATCCTTTGAAGACTATTTAAATTCACATAGAAACATAATCTATCCTTGATCTAATACATCAAGTCTAAATACCAAAGTCGAAACAACAAAAAAAGTCCAAACACTTATGTCGAAACGAATATCAAGAGTCCAAACACCAAAGTCGAAACAAATATAAAGCATCTAAAACAATTATGTCAATTATCACTTAAAATAGATTGTGGAGCACTAGATATAATGGATAATCCAAAACAAAGTGTGTCGTGGCTGCAAAATGGTCTGGGACATAGTCACTAATCGTTTATCATAGGGCATAGGGTAAGATCTCATCCACTACCGAACAAAACAAAACAAAACAAAACTAAGCATTATGCACAATGTGTAATGACTACTGTCACTAACTACCTGTCTATAACTTGAGTAAGCTCCATTAAAATAATACGTTTCCAAACAAAAAGGTGAATTCATTCACCATCAAAAATTAAGAGAGTAAAAAAAATTAAATTATGGTTTCCAAAGTCCATTTCCAACAAAAGGATGAATCCAATTATCAACAAAATAAAAGATTGAAACAAAACCAAAGTTCAAAACAAAGCTAAATCAAAGTCATTAATCATACTAATATCTGAAGGACAAATTGACCTAATACTAAGGTCTATGCAAAACTAATCATTTTTTATTTCAAATTTTCAAATCATCAATCATTCAACTAATCATATACGAATATCAATTTTGAGGTATCAAACAATTGAAAGGCTTGTTCCCCATGTTCAAAACCATATACGTATTAAACATATTTACATAGTATACTTAGCTTCCATTAAGCAAACTTGAAACCATCGTTCACACCTCAAAATTTATCAAAAATACAATTTATTGTGAGGTTGTAGAAAAGACATGCTTAATTATATCAAAATAATTAAAAACACCACATCTACCCACTTTGTTTAAGCATGCCTTTCGTCTTAACACCTTTCGTCGCAAGCTTAACTCCATCAAAACTCAAACTACTCCAATAGCACCTAAAATGGTGTTTAATCATTAATATCTTCATAGACCCATAATAATTTCATAGTACAATAAATATCCACTTCTAACTCTATATAACCCATGCTTATCCAAAGGATTTGCCTAATAGCTGTTCTAAAACTCATACTTATCAAATATCCTACTCAACTTACACATTTCCTTACCTTGGTGAGCTCTTACACAATGGTTCTGACAAATTTTGAAGCCCTACTTACAAAATTTGGGTCCAAATAAAGAAATATAAATTAAAACTTGAAAACTTGTTTTCGAAAGAGATTTAAGAAAGATTTAGGAACTAGAAATCCTTACCTTTAGTTCTTAAAGATCAAGATTTGGTAGTGGAGTTTAAGGGTCTTGAGAGCTAAGAAATTTGAGAGAAAATGAGTGAAAGAACAAAGAGAATGCAAGAAAATGAAAGAGGCTTGGGTTTTGGGGTTTTTAGGGTTTTGTTTTTTTGTTGGTGTAATTTGAGGTCAACTTTTTTAGGTAAGGGGTCAATTATGGCTAAAAATGTACTTTAAGGTTGATTACTCTGAGGGGGTAGTTGACCATGGTTTAGAAAGCTGCCTCTATTCAAAAATTTTTTTAAGGTTTACTTCTTAACAGAAAAGATTGACCTTTCAACCTTTAATTTACAAAAATTGACCCTTTTGAGTTCTAAATCAACACTAGTCCACCCACTGACTTTCCAGTATTTTGTGAATGGTTTTCTCAAGGTTAGAAATCATGGGATATCCTAAGCTCACCACGTCAGTTATCTAATTTGTCCATGTAATGAAAAGTAGGGGTTTTACATTTTCTCCCCTTTAAGAAAATTTACCCTCGAATTTAAACCAACAAGTTAGTTACCTTAATTTTGAAATAAATGTGGGTCCTTGATGTGCTTTTTGTCCTCAACATCCCAAGTCACCTCCTCTTTAGAGTGGTTACCCCAAAAACTTTCATCAAAGCTACATCCTTAGTGTGAAGTCATTTTACTTGTCTATTCAAGATTTCTATTGGTACCTCCTCATATGACAAGTAATCACCCAACTGCAACCCTCATAACAAATCACGTAGGATGGGTCAAATAGTACTTACGTAATACATATATATGAAATACTAAGGGGATATTAAAAAGATCCGGGGCAAGCCCAATCTATAAGTTACAACATTAACTATCTCTAGGATCTCAAATGGTCCAATATACCTCAAACTTTAAGTCTAGATGTCTATGGTCGATATATTATTTTTGTCATTTTTAAGCTTTTAGCAACTTATCCCGAATCAATTGAATCTTATCAGTGACCTCTTGAACCGTCTTCGATCCAAGTAGCTTTTATTCATTAACCTCAAACTAAGCGATGGTGACCTAAACTTATTCTAATAAAAGGCCTTAGATGCCATCTCAATGCTAACCTGGTAACTGCTATTGTAGGTAAACTTTATCAAAGGTAAATGTTGATCCCATGTAACTTCAAAATCAACCACCCAAGCTCGTAATATATCTTCTAAGTTCTGTATAGTCTTTTCAAACTATCCATCAATCTAAAGATGAAAA